GCCTCTGGATGGACGCTCACAGCGGCTGCTGGCTGCTCACGCTGGCTGCTGGCTACACACAGTAGCCATGGCAACCCACTGCCACAGGGGCTGCAGCCTATGGGGGCGGCCACTTAACGGAGCCCAGGTCCCGGTTTGGCCTCTTTTCCCGCACCTTTCTTTGGGAGGCAAGGTTCACTGGCCTCCAAAGTTGGATTCTAAACCGGACCCCTTTGTGGCCCAAGCCCGTTCCTAACCAATGCCCCACCTGGGCCGCCCTGCTCCTTCATTTTTTAAATGAAGTTTCTAGGTCCCAGCAAAGAGAATGGAAGTAGAAAGGTTTTTTGTTTTTAAATAGTATTCATTCAGGACCCTAATTCTCAGTGATATGTGTCCCCTTGATTCTAGAATCCCTGTCATTATGCAAAGTAGGAGTTTCAGAGATGACAAGCAATTTGGCCAAGTCACACTTGGCCTACACTCCAAAGCTCTCCAACCTTCCACCACCATCATTCTGAGTGTTTTCAGTGGTTGCACTCTACCTTTCCAAACTCTGTGGGGCAGATACTGCTGGCTAGGAAACCTGAAATAGAGAAGCAAGGACTGTTCGGATTACCCTTCCGACTTCAAAAACCGGCTTTCACTAGAATTGAGGAAAGCCCAGCCTGGGAACCACTTAGCGCTGGTCAAGTCCCCACCCGGACGCATTTTTTTCAGTTGTCAGGAAGTGGGGAACTATCTAACCCCACTTGCCGGAAGTGCTTTTTCACTAGTACCTGGATGTTTTTGCAGTTTAGCTCTCTGTCTCCCGGCGCGAGGCCGGCAGGTAAGTAGCAGAGTAGCTGCCAGAGGTGCAGGTTGTGAAGTGGGGGCACTTAGGGTTTAGGAGTAAATGAAGTCGTGGTCTTTGTCGGGCATTTTCCCGAGGATCCTTGCGTCCAGACTCCACCTCCTTTTCTCATGCCCCGGAGGCTTGCGGTTTGCAACTTTTTCTTTTGGGGCAGTAGAAATAGTGACCTCGCCTAAATTGAGTATATTCATTCCTGGATCTTTATCCTTAATTTCCTCACCAGTTAACCACCCCCGAGCTTTAGGCTCTTTGTTTTAACACCCATGAGTTGGAAGACACATGTCACAGTGCATAGGGAGTTCTGAAGGTGGAGGGAGGACCGATTTTAAGCGGGATGGTGCGGAAGGCCCTTACGCCGGTGATTCTGAGCAAAGGTGTATGGGCCCTGCAGATATATGTGCCTGGGGTCAGGAGATATGTGGTGGATGTCATTTAAGATCTCCCCAGAGGCTCTTGATAAACTCCCTACTTATGAAGACATTGACTAGTATACAGGATTTATCGACCCAGCCCTAAGATCTGTGATCAAGAAATTAGTTCATTAAAAATTTTAAGCGGCAGTTGTGGGTTTTGGATTTTTTAGACACCCCATTCTCCTGGTTAAGAATGGGACTCGTGTAAGACAGATCTGGATTCATATTCTCACTGAGCCACTGACTGGCTACTTATATTAGACAGGGTTCTTAAACATTCCCTCTTGTGTAAGGAAGGAATAATAGCTAACATTTTTTGAATGTTTATTTTGTGTCAGGGACAGTTCTCAGCTCTTTACATGTATTAAATCATTTAATTTTTACAACGATTCTGTTATTATAATTCTTATTTTCAAAGATGAGTGTACTGTCGATAGCAAGATTAAGTAAGTAACTTGTCCAAAATCACATAGCTAATAAGTGATGAAGCTAGGATTCCAATCCAAATTGTTTGACTCCGAATCTGTGCTCTAACTTAATGGGCTTTACAGTTTCTCAGCACCAAGTTGATGAGGTATTGTATTAAATGAGTTAATGCATATAAAACAGTTACAGTGTCTGGTTCACAGCTAAATTGTATTGGTTGTTACACTCATTATTTTGAACTGTAAACTCCTAAGCCCAAAAATAGATAACTAAGGGGAAAAAAAGAGAACAGGGAGGCTGACTTTCAGTTTAACTGGCACTTGAAGGAAACGATTTCCCCAAGATCACACAGCTGGGAAATGGAGGTTATCTGTAAAATCCAGATCTTCTCTGTGCATTACTCTCTTCTTTTCAGAAAAGAAAAGGATCTATTTACTTAATGTGTTACTTATTTTTTGAAAACATTAATTGTTCTCAAAGGAAACTGTATATGCAAGAAATTATCATGGAGTTACTACTTTTTGAAAATTGTGTATAAAATGAAGATAATTGATACCTTGTTTTGTACACAGCAACATGCTTCTGATTCAGCCCTTCCACTTAGCTGTAAAAATACATTAATCAGAACTGCCTGGCATTTTCCTGAGCAAGACTTCATGAGGGCCCAGTATGCTTCATTTCATCCAGAAGTTTTCTCGAGCATCTTCAAAGGTTGGTTTATTCAGTAAATATTTGAGCACTACTTGCCAGTCATGGCTTGGCAATGAAAAAGAAGACAAAAAAAAAAAATCCTTACCCTCATATATTCAAAGTGCCGGGGGGGGGGATACAAATAAGTAAAATATTTAATATGTCAAGTGATAAGTGCTGTGGAGAACTATAAAGCAGGGAAATGGAATAGGGAGTGTCAACAATAGACTTGGGATTGCACTTATAAATAGGGTAGTCAGAAATGATGGAATGGACCGTGGCGGTAGCTCAGGGAAGAACATTCTAGACAAAAGGGAAAAAAGGCCCCAAGATGGAATCATTTCTAGCATTTTGAAGAATTACCAAGATTCCTAAATAACTGTTTCATTTTTCATCAAATACTTTTTGAGTTACTGATGATCTCTTTACTAGTTGAAGTCTGAAATCTGCTCACTAAAGCACAGTATTAGCAGAAAAGGTTATTACCTGGCCATGTACCAGGAAAGGCACTGGGGAGTGTTTTTTTTTAACCCTCTGTCGGGCGCAACTGATCTCACAGATTCATTGCACACAAATTTTCAAATATCTAACAAGTATCGTGACTTATCACTTCCGTATCTTCCCCCTCTACTGTAACTTATCGCCAGTCATATTTGTGACTCAGTATAGTAAAGATGTATTTCATAGCATCTTTGTGTGCAATGAATCTGTGAGATCAGTTGTGCCCAACGGAGGGTTAAGGCAAAGCAAAAAATATGGTCCTGGCTCTCGAGTCTACTCAGACAAACACACAATTTTAATTCACTGTGAGAAGTATAATGGAAGTGTGCGTAGGGTACTTGTAGGAGCATTAAATCAGATTGGAGAAAGTGTCAAGCTGAATTTTGAAAGACAAGTTCCCTAGATAGAAAAGTAGTAAGCTAGAATTCTAGGCAGAGACATGTAGAAAGGCACGGAGCCATGAAAAGTATGTAGTGTCTATAAAGCTAAATTGGAAGGCAGATTGCTTTTCTCTAGCATTCCCACAATAATTAATGCAGCTGCTTTTGCAATTTATAAATAGAAGGGGCAGTTTAGAATACCTAATACTAAAGACTCAGTCTTTACCTGTTCTTCTGAGATATTTCTCTCATGGGATAAAATTAGTGATAGGCCAAAACATCACTGGTTTCTATTCAGTAGTTTCTTTTGCATTTAATAGTCTTAGCCAGCAGTAACATCGCCTTATAGTCCAACCTTTCTGTAAAGTTCGATGTGCTAACAGAAAGCAGTTTGTGTTTATATTGTTCTAGGTTGGGATTAACTAAGACATTTGGTGATTTTTTTTTTTTTAAATCTGGTTCTATTTTCTCTATAGATGCTGAAGTACCCTTTCACAGTTGGACTAGAAACCAGCAGAATAGAAACACTTTCTCTTAAGACATGTCTCCAGCAGAACTTTTCACCTTTGTTTCTAAGGCCTTGGCCTTTCTCATCATTTCCAGTGTGTATGAGCAAGACACAATATTATCATACTTCCCCATGCAGCTTTAAGAAGCAGAAGCAAGAAGTACTTCCAACCAGGCCACCAAAAACCATCACTTACTTGCCTGACAGCCCAAAGCCAGCATTATACATAACTTTGGCAGGTCTAATCCCCTTTGTTGCTCCACCACTGGTCATGGTAATGACAAAGACTTATATCCCCATATTAGCTTTTACTCAGATGGCTTATGGAGCCAGTTTCCTATCTTTCTTGGGAGGGATCAGATGGGGTTTTGCTCTGCCAGAAGGTAGTCCAGCTAAACCAGACTTCCTCAATTTAGCTAATAGTACAGCTCCTGTTTTGTTTTCATGGTTTGCCTTTCTTATTTCTGAAAGGCTCAGTGAAGCTATAGTAACAGTAATAATAGGTTTGGGGATAGCATTACATTGTGAATTTTTTCTCTTGCCACATTATCCCAATTGGTTCAAAGCCCTGAGGATCGTAGTCACTTCAGTGGCCTTTTTATCATTTGTAATCACTTTACTAGTTAAAGATATTTATCCAGAGAAAGAACCCAAGGGACCTGGTAAAGTGGAATAAATATAAAATTACTGTGTAGATGACGTTAGCATGTTGGCTACAAGCCTTGTAAGGCTGTTTTGCATCTCCTTTTTCTACTTCTATTGTTTAGCTCTTTGTTTCACACCAATGGTAATTTAATCTTCACATTATTTTTCATTTCTAGAAATCTTTATTTCATAGGAATTACGTGATCAACAGCTTGAAAATCCCTAACAAGTCTTTTTCATGTTCATATTAGGTTACAGCTCTCATTCGGTCTTTTTATTAATTATATAGTTGTCCACTCAAATATTTCAATGTTTTAATTACTTTGAAAAATATAATTAAAAAAGATGAAAAACCCCTTTTACTAGAGCCTTAAGATCACTGAAAAAACATACACATTCTTCCATTTCAAGAGGAAAACTTCATTTCCATGAATGTCTGAAAATAATAGGTGGTTCCAGGGTGGAATTTTCATTGCAGTTGTCCATGGGAATTGCATTTCCAAGCTCATTTTGTCTGAAAGGATCTGTGGCTCTAAAGTCATTTGGGAGCAGTGTCACGAGGGAAAGTCATGTTTAAAGAAAAGCTGGACACATTTTCCAGTTTTTATCACAAACAAGACCAGCTGGTCAAACATATTTAAAAGAATAAAGCCACTAATACATATAAATTTGGAAAAGTCAAGCTGGAGCATCTTGATGTTCTAACGAGAGGCTATCTAGTTTTACATGTTAGCTCAGAGAATTTTTTTTTTTTTGGGGGGGGAATTGGGGGAGGGAACAGCATTGGGGAATCGGGGAAGGGGAACAGATAAGTTGCTGTCCTTTTGTTCTTCAGTCTAGTTGTGGAGGACATTGCTTCACTGGCCCATGTTGGTATTGTCATTGCGCTCTTCCCAGGTGAGGCAGATCAGTCACCGGCCAGTGGATGGCTGTTCACGGCTGCCAGCTGCCGGCCACTCACGGTAGCTTACCACAGCCCACTGCAGCCTATGCCATTGCCAGCGACTCATGGCAGCCTGGCTCCAGGTTGAGCTGTTCACCATCTTAGCTGTAGAGGGCGCAGTGTCACTGGCCCATGTGGGATCTGAACGGGCAGCCCTGCTGCTCAGAGCTCACGCTCCCAAGGCAACTTAACCAAAGAGCCACTTGGCCGGCCCCTGAGAGCAGCTTTTTTAAAACAGCAAAAGCATCACCTTGGGACTTTAACTTGAAAATTGCATCTCTTGAGATTCTTAGTCTCATAAAAAAGGACATTTTAAAATAGTGTAAGAATATAAATCAGGAAATGATATCACCTGGTATGTGTTATCTTTGTGTAAGTATTCAAATATTAAATTTCATAAGTAAATTATATACATATGATTTCCACTCTAGTGATTCTTGCTATGAAGAGATCAGAGTCTAGAGTGGTAACTTGTTTACTTCATTACACACCTATTATGGGTTGAATTTGTGTTGAAGTCCTAATCCCCAATATCTAAGAATTTGACCTTATTTGGAGATAGGGTGTTTACAGAGGTAATACGGTTAAAATGAGATCATAAGGGTAGGCTGTAATTACTGGTGTTCTTATAACAAGGGAAAATATAGAGACAAACATACATACAGGGAGAATGCCATGTGAACATGAAGATGTCCATATGCCAAGGAGAGAAGCCTGGCACAGATCTCTCCTCTTAGCCCTCAGAAGGAACCAACTCTACCAACACCTTGGTGTCAGACATACAGCCTCTGAAACTGAGACTACATTCTGTTGTTTAAATTCCTGTGGTACTTGTTACAGCAGCCCTATGCAAACAAATACAACACCATAAAGCTAGACCTTGTTCTGATCATTGAGAAGCTTACCAGTTAAAGCCCGTGGCTGAAATCACTAATAATCCTTCTTTATTAATGTAAAGAATAGTTTACTACAGCCTGATAATAAAGGAAAGAAAGCTCATATTCTTCAGAAGATGTTTCTCAGAAGAAAACGCAAAAATCAAAATAGTTTATTCGTACATTTTTAAAGAAACAACAATCTGTCATTACCTAGGAAATAATGAGCATTTTTACAATGACCTATTTTCAGGGATCGTCTGGACTTCTTAAACCCAAACACTCATTGTCTTTACATTGCTACTACAGCAGCACAAAATGCCTCCCTTCACAGTCCCATTTTAGGTTACCAGGCGATGAGAAATAAATTATAGGAGCATTTTGTAAATCTCTTTTGAACCAGAATGCAGATTCTCTGTAACCAGAAATATTGAAGGCACATGAGCTTAAATAGTTAACAAATTATCTCAACACTTCATTCCTTGATATTTTATAGATCCCAACCAGGTATCTGTGACCCTTCAGATTTTCAGAGCTTTCTGTCTGCACTACATAAGCTGTTCTTAATACAATCGTATGGCTAAGTTATAAAAGCAAGAGTCCTTGTGGGTCAATCCAAATATTCTAGATATGAATGCTACCCAAGTCTTTAACGCTCACCAAAGTATTTCTATCTAAATAAGCTACTGATGCCTATAACAACATACAGGAGGACTTCAGTAAAGAAAAGGGGAAATCGGGAATATACAAACAAAATCCTGGAATCAGCTAGGTAAATCTAAATGTATGCAAGACCTTTAATATTAAATGGCTCCAAATGACTAGTAGAAATAACTTAAAAGTGATGATGTACCTGAAGAATCTTCCTCTCAGACAGAGAACAATTCCTTAGAATGCTTCTTGGGGAAAAGGAGAAACTTTGAGGAGCAGTTTTGGATCAGAAGCCTTTCATCTTATAAATCATTGGCTAAGAAGTTTCACAGGTATCTACAATTCCACCTTCTCCAAGCCAGGCAGTAACTTTGCAATAAGCTCATACTTAGGCTTCTTGCCCAAGTACAAGTAAACTTCACGAAGCTTTATAATCTAATAAAAGTCCCTCTTCCCAAAGCCAAACAGATACTTTTGGTGACTATTTAGAAAATAGGGAAGAATTTTACTAAGTGCATACCACCATCTGGGCTCTATCATTCATTACATCATCCTATTGCAATAATGGACTATCAGTAAGAACTTCCTATTAATTACTCTCTTGCAGTCTCAGCATCAAGACAAAAAATAAGTGAGCAAAAGCTTTTTTTATGCTGTTATGAATAGGTGAAAACTTACCTCTGTATATAAATAGCTAGCTATTTCATACCTGTCCTTCCCAGTATATCTGCTGTATAAAAAGTCTGGGGCTAGTGAAAACTCTTAGGATCAAATAAAAGTAGAAAGTTGTTTCACTGGCTTTTCTCTGTAGGTTAAACTATGGCCATGGAAAATTGTGCTCTGGGTTGAATCATGAATATACAGACATCTCTAAACTGTCTTTACTGATATTCTTACATCACATAAGGGTCATGTTACAGCTTGAATTGCACTGTAGAAACCCTTATTTGCCAAGAAGCTTCTAGCATACCATTTTTACAAATAGGACTCCTCTAACTGGACAATTCTAGAGCATAAGTAGCATTTCTATTGGTAAGCTTGGCAATATTTTTGTGAGCTCTTTATTAATTTAGGATATGTATATTCCATATCCCTTCTCACTCAAATTCTTAGAAAAATCATTATCTATCAAAAACATGGAAAACTCAATAGGATCAGAGGGTCCTACCACTAAATACACATGTGATTTGCAAAAGGTTAGATCCTGTATTTTAAAAATGTTTCTTGTGCTCTCTTATGGTTTATATTTCATAGTACAGCAACACCTCCTTCACAACGACTAGTGATCATGTTACAAATTTCTGTCCATGTATCTGAATGAGGGTTATAAACTTCAACTGAGTCCAAGGTACCAGGGGCCAAGAAATCATGGGTGGAAGATCGCCCTCCGGAAACATACAGAAGCCCATTGACTGCCACCACACACATGCCTGCTCTAGGCACTTTCATGGAGGCAACTTCAACCCACTTTTCCTGGTTAAGAGAAAAAAAAAAAAAAAAGCAGTGTCATAAAATGGCAATAGAGAAAACTGCTTAGAAATCAGATACTATGGTTCTTTTTACGTTTAAATTTCAAACTCACAACCCAGTCAAATCAGTATATAGAACATTTAAAACTTTTGAATAGCTGTAGACAAAGTAGTGAATTTAGAGAAAAATAATTGAAAAACATGTCTGTAATTAATTATAATTTATGACCAGGAGATAATTAAATTCTATATAGGCAGGCATTCTGAGAAACTAGCTCTATGGAATATAAGTAGGTAATGCATACACACACAGAAAATACAAATCCACAAAGCTCCAAAAAAAGAGCTCATATGCGTATATAGTATACAAAAGGGCTTTAAAAAGTCTTTGAGATGCTAATGAGCATTATAAATCTCCAGGAGAATGATACAGCAAAAAGCATTTGCCAAATTTGACCATGGAATCCTTTTTTCAAGGATCATCTATCTAGTGGAGTTAGTGATTTTCAGAAAGTATAGCTCAGAGGTTAGAAAACATAGCCTATTTTTATAAGCCTACAAAATAAGAATGATCTTTCCATATTAAAAGATTATTAAAAAAAATATGCCAATTTGCTAACTACTGATATACATTGTTCCCTCAAGAAATTTCAATAAGCTGCTATAGCTAAAATGACTTGTAATGTCCTACTCCAGGAAAAATGTTTACACCCAGAAATTAGAAAGCCAATAAATGTCCTGGGAAACAATCAAAAAAGAAAATAGCAAATAGCCAGGTGAAAAAAGAACCTGGAAATAAAGCATATGATAAAAAGTTTATATAATCATGAAAAGTGAATAATGGTTGTTCATCAATGCTAGAAAGTGAACTTTTTGAGGAGCTTTCACATCCCAGTATCCAGTACAGCACCAGCACATTATAGAGGGTCAATGTATGTTTGCTGACCTGAACTTAAATGAAATTCTGAAATACTAAAGCAAGAGACAATCCTTTGAAATTTAAGAAACATTAAATTTGAAGGCTATTTGATTATCTGAAATTACGGAACACATCACAAAGTCAGCATAACTGAAAAAACATTCATTATTTAAAAGACAGACATACAAAAATATAGCTAATTAAGATAAATTAGGATGTTGGGGTTACAAATATGTTTATCATTAGGGAGAACTAACCTTTGCTTCCCCACAAAAAAGGCTCTTGACAAGAATAAGGCAACAGTGGGCTCATCGTATCATGTTTATCTTTTATTTCTATCAGTGTATTAGAACTATAGTTTGCTTTTTTATCCTGAGTCACCTTAAAATAAACTCTATAAAACCAGAAACATGTTTCACATTACCTTTGGGTTTGAATCTACAATGTGAGACTTCAGTACATTGTAACAATAACATTTCAGATTTATGCATGAAAAACCTAGATAACTCATTAATGATAAGCACTTTGTAACAAAAATCTATTCATTTCCAGCTATATAGAAAAATTAGCAACAGAAAGTGCCCTCAGAATGTTCACTTTTTATATTACCAAATAAAATCATATAGAAAGTGAAAGGAATTTGAAATATCACTAAAGTTTAAAACTTGTCAGAAATGAGAATCAAAATCATGCTTTACAACATGACAAGGATTGCACTCTTGCCACTTCTTTTTTTTACTTAACTTTTTTTAATTTCTTGCCATTTCTATTCAACATTGTAATGGAGGTTCTAGCCAGGGCAATTAGGAAAGAATGAAATAGAAGGCATCCAGATTGGAAAGGAAAAAGTAAAATGATCTCTACAGATAACATGATCTTGTATATAGAAAATCCAAGGAATCCACAACAAAACTTACAGTATGAATGCTGCAAGGTTACAGGACACAAGATCAACAGACAAAAATCAATTGAATTTCTATATACTAGCAATGAAAAATCGAAACAGAATTAAGAAAACAATTCAATTTGCAATAACATCAAAGGAATAAAATACTCAGGAATAAATTTAAGTACAAGGAACTGAAAACCTACTGTTGAAACAAACTGAAGAAGACCTAAATAAGTGGGAAAACATCCCATGTTCAAAATGAAAAGACCTAATATTGTTAAGATGGCAATACTCCCCCACTTGATCTCAGATTCAATGTAATCCCTATCAAAAACCAGGTGGCTTCTTGGTAGAAATTGATAAGCTGATCCTAAAAGTCATATGGAATTCAAGGGACCGAGAGTAGCAAAACCAATTTTTAAAAAGAAGTACAAAGTTAGAGGACTCACATTTTCTGATTTCAAAACATATTACAAGGCTACAGTAACTAAGACTGGCATAAGGATAGACATAGATAAATGAATAAAATTAAGAGTCCAGAAATAAACTCACATTTATGGTCACTGATTTTCAACAGAGGTGCCAAGGCAATCCAATGGGAAAGAACAGTCTTTTTAACAACTGGTGCTGGAACAACTGGATAGCCACATGCACAGAATGAAGATGAACCCCTAACTCACACCATATACAAAAATTAACAATGAATCAAAGACCTAAATATAAGAGTTAAAACTATAACTCTTAGAAAAGTATAGGCATAAATCTTCATGACCTTGAATTAAGCAATGGTTTGTTAGTTATGATACCAAGCGCACAAGCTACAATAGAAAAAATCAACTGGCCATCAAAATTAAAAATTTTTGTGTTTCTAGGATACCAGCAAGAAAGTGAAGGAAACCATAGAATGGGAGAAAAATTTTGCAAATCATGTATCTGACAAAGGACTTACACTTGGATTATATAAAGAACTCTTACAACTTAATAAGACAAATAATCCATTTTAGAATGAACAGAATTAAATAGATTTCTCTTCAAAGAAGATATACAAATGACTGATAAGCCCATTAAAAGATGTTCAACATCATTAACTATTAGGGAAATACAAATAAAAACCATAGTAAGATACCAATTCACACCTACTAGGACATCTATAATCAAAATTTAAAAAATATAAATAACAACCACTAAATGTGGAGAAATTTAAACCATTAAACACTGCTGATAGTTAATATAAAATGGTATAGTATCTTAGAAAACAATCTAGCAGTCCCAAATAAGGTTAAACATAGAATTACCATTTGATCCAGCAATTTCACACCTAGGTATATAGATAGCCAAGAGAAACAAAAATCTATGTACACACAAAAATGTCCACATACATGTTCACAGCAGCATTGTTTGTAATAGCCAAAAAGTTAAAACAACTCAAATGTTTGGTGTGTGAATTATATTCTCAATAAGCTGTTAACAAAAATCTTTCTACTTAAAAAATTGAAAAAAGAAAATTAAAAAAAGACCTATAGATTTTGACAGTTTTAATAACTATAGTCAGTTTAAGAATACAAAATTCAAATAACGCTAATCTATATTTACCAAAATATGTTCCCTGAAACATTTTTTCCTAAGATTTTTCACAGACAAAAGCAAGGGTTATGTGAAGTACATTTGAGAGACTTAGCATAAAGATTCACAAAGTTTATTATTGTACTACATTGTGTAAAGAAATCCTGTGGTAAAGAAATTTATTTAACTTTGTTCAACCCAACTTTCCTTAAATATAATTGACCAGGAAAACTCATGTTACCTAATTCCCATTAACAACAGAAACAATATTCCATGGAAATTTATTTGGAAAAAATTGTTCTAACTTATAAGTCAATGACATAACACATGTTGTACTTCATTATCCCAGCACCTAACAAATTGTAATGCAATTGTCTGTTTATTTCTGTATATTTCCCACTAGAATTTAGGCTCCTTGAGAGCTGGGGCCTTGTGTGTTTAGTTTGCCTTTATTTCCCAAGGCATAGTGCCTGACCCATACTTATGTACAAAGAAGTCTATAAGTATTTGTGAATGAATAAATAGACTAATGAACAAATGCATGACAGAACAGCTACTCAATGAAAATATAACCTACTTTTCCCTAGCTTTCTCTTCTTCTCCCTCCCTAGCATAATTGAGTCAACCCAGTAACTAAGTGTATGAGGGAACATTGGAGAGCTCATATGGCAGTGACAAGATGGGTAATGTGCAGAGATGGCAGATAGAGGAGACAGCTGGTGTGATAGGGAGATTTGTTTCATTTAACAAATAAGAAAAAGGAATGAACAAATAAATAAACACTGAGACTAATGGGAGCTAAGTTTTTAACTGACAGAGAAGGTATTTACAAACACAGAAAGGGTGAAGGCATGAAAGAATCTGAGATGTTGTATTAGAACTGGAGCTATCATTATAAACTCATAGTTTTATAACATATATGTACAGAGAGATATAGAAATACTTACAAATGAATGTGTGTAAATACATATATTTTCTAGCTATGTTTACTGATAGTGTCTAGAAGCAGCAAATACCCCAGCAGCAATGAGTACTCTGAGTACCTGGATCTTGGATTCTAACTACTGTCTTACACTAAGAGAAACTGGAGCTTCTTGGAGAAATGGCTGATTCCAGGGCAAGGGCAGAGAAAGGATAAGCTGAGCTTGAAAATTTTTACTTGTCAATTATACCTCAATAAAACTGGGAAATAAAAACAAACAAAAACAAATTGAAGAACAGAGAGAAAAAAGATGAGAAAAACATTAACAGAGCCTCAGTGATCTGTGCGACAATATCAAATAATCTTGAATCCCAGACAGAGATCAGGAGAATATTTGAAGAAATACGCTAGGCTGGCCGAGTGGCGCGTTGGTTAAGAGCTGGCTTGGGACGCCAGAGGTTCCCGGTTCGGATCCCACATATGAGGGCCAGTGACACTGCCCTCTACAGCTAAGATGCTGAACAACAGCTCAACCTGGAGCTGGGCTGCCCTAAGTCGCCGGCGACAGCATAGGCTGCAGTCCCTGTGGCAGTGGGTTGCCATGGACTACCGTATGTAGCCAGCAGCCAGCTTGAGCGGCCGTCCAGAAGCCGGCGACTGATCTGCCTCACCCGGGAAGAGAGCAATGATGGTGCCAACTTGGGCCAGTGAAGCAACGTCCTCCACAACTAGACTGAAGAACAAAAGGACAGCAACTTGTCTGTTCCCCTTCCCCCAATTCCCCAATAAAAAATTCTAAAAAAAAAAAAAAGAAAGACAGCTGAAAACATTTCAATTTGATGGAAGCTATAATCCCACAAATTAAAGAATTTCAATTAATTCCAAGGAGGTTAAACAGAAAACTCCAACAAGGCACACATAATCAAATTACTGGAAACCCATGATAAAGAGAAAAACCTTAAAAGCTGACAAAGTAAAAAAGACACATACAGTGGGAATAAGGATAAGAATGACTACTGACTTCCCATCAGAAACAATGCCAGAAGATAAACAACACCTTTAAGGTGATGGGGAAAAAAACAACAACCTAAATTTCTATACTCAGCCAAATATCTCCAAAAATGAAGGTGGAAAAGAGTTTCAGAAAATGAAAGCTAAGAGAATCATTGCCAGCAGACCAGAACTAAAAGAAATATTAAAGGGAGTTCTTTGGGCTAACAGAAAATGATATGAGATAGAAACTCAGTTCTACATAAAAGAATAAATAGAACTAGAAATAAGACACATATGCATAATTATCAAAGACTTTCTCGTTAAAAATGTATTTTCAATATAATTGACTAAGTAAATATAACAACGTATTGTGGGGGTTTACAACATATACAGACATTAAAATGTATAATAGCACAAAGACAGTAATGAAAGTGATTTTATAAGTTTCTTACATTATAAGTGAAATGGTATGATATTATTTGAAGGTAGATTTGATACATTAAAAATATATATGTACATAGTATAAATTTATGTAATATATAAATTAAGCCCTAAAACAACCACTATGAAAAAGGTGAAGAGATACAGTTAATTGGACAATAAAATAAATAAAATGGAATACTAAAACAGTCAACATAAAGACAGAAAAGGGAGGAAAAAGGATAAAAAAAATGGATTATACAAAAAGGAAAACAACAAAAATAGAAGTCTAAAAACCAACCATATCTGTACCTACATTACATGTAAATAGTAAAAAATCTAAAGACTCCATGTGAAAGTCAGAGATTGTCAAACTGAATTAAAAAACAGACCACAACTATATGTTATCTTACAAGAGATGCAGCTTGGAAAGACATAGATAGATTTTAGGTAGAAGGAAAAAAAAGATATGCCATGCAAATGCTAATCAAAAGATAGCTTGGTTACATTAATATCAGACAAAGTAGACTTCAGAACAAAGGTTATTATCAGAGATAAAAACATATCATACTATTAAAAGAGTCAATTTATCAAGAGGACATAATAATCTCAATGTGTACCAACTAACAGAGATTCAAAACATGAAGCAGAACCTGACAGAAATGAAAGCAGAAGCAGACAAATCCATAATTATAGATGGAGATTTTAACACTTCTTAGTAATTGACAAAACAATTGGACAAGTTGGAAAGACTTGGGAAGACCTGACTAACGCTAATCACATCGACCTAATTGACATTTATGGAACACTGCACTCAACAACAGCAGAATACAAATTCTTTTCAGGTGCACATGAAACATTTAACAAGCCAGAAGTCATACAAAATATGCTCTTTTGTCACAATGGAATTAAATTAGAAATCAATAACACAAAGATATCTGGAAAATCCCCAAATATTTAGAAATTACATAACATACTTCTAACAACCCACTGGTCAAATAAGAAATTACCAGGTAAATTAGAAGACATTTCAAGATAAATGCTAATTAAAATAAAAAATCAAAATGTGTGGGATGCAGTTAAAGAAGGGCTTGAGAACAATTTATAGCTTTAAAGGTTTACATTATAGAAAAAGAAAAGTCTAAAATCCATCATCTAAGTTTCCACTTTAAGAATCTAGAGAAAGAAGAGCAAATTAAACCCAAAACAGATAGGAAGGAAAAAACTAGCTACAGAAATGAATGAAATAGAAAATGGATAATCAGTAGAAAAAAAAATCAATGACACCAAAAGTTAGTTCTTTGAAAAGGAAAAAAAACCTACAAATGATCAATATCATAAATGAAAGAATGCACATAACAGATCTTACAGACATTAAAAGAATAATGGGATACTAAACATTTGAAATCATCCAACCTACCTCTTCAAAGGAATATTTTTCTACAGTATGAAGAGCATCCTGTGTCTCATTCCATCCCCCAATAGAATAGATGCAGTCATTGAGTGCAGCCACCCCAAGATATGCTCTCCTGGTTCCCATTGGAGGAAGTGGAGACCAACGCTTGGAAAGTGGATCATAAACTTCAAAAGAACGAAGCTCTATTCCTTCATTGCTGATGCCTCCAACTACATAAATTAAACCTGAAAACGGAATATTTTTGCTCAGGTGCTATAGAAAATAGGATGTAAATAATTAAGAAAAGTTTAATAATTGTGATTTATTTGCTATGCTGGTATTATATTTAATGTAGAGTTTTCCATATTCTTTAAGAGAGAAAATCGACTTCTGTCTAGTTTATCACAACTCACATTTAAGCATGTTACAAAGAATTAGGGGTATGAATTTAAAGCGGCATTGAATTTTCAAAGAATTTAATGATGTTATAACAAAACTATTTGTCAGATAAGGATTTCCCATCTTATTGTCTGCTTGATGATCTCAAGTTCCAGATCCACTGCTAGAATACATAGGTAAAAAGGAAAAGGAGAGTTCTTTTTTTCCCCTAAAAAATGTCATGGCCTTGGCTGGTGACAGCCTACCTGTTGCTCAGATGGACATAAAATAGAGAATTGAGTTTTAATTAGTATAATTATATGGCTAGATTAAGGTATCAGAATCAATCACTAAAGTACAACAGAATGTAATTTGGAGAGTTCCTTTATAAATTTGGTTGAAACTAATGGTTCTGACAATCTACAATTATTTTTGAATGTCTAGTGTTGTTTCCCATGTTCTAAAGTGAGGAGTTATAAGTTATAAAGAATGGCATTTTAGGAAATGTGAGCTAAATGTTAGCAAACTTAGGTTCTAGCTCCAGCTTTGCCAGTAACCAGCTATGAAAAAAGACAACTCACAGCCTTCCTAATTTTCAGGTTTTTCATTTATAAATAAAGGGACTGAACTAGATAATCTCCAAAATGCCTCTCTAGCTCTATGATTTTAGATGGGAAGATAAAAATAAACATAAAACAACTAGAGACCCTTATAATACTAAACAACAGTTTAATAATTTGCACCATGTAATTTGAACATTTAAAAGCTAGTGGAAATCTGAGAAGGTACTCACAAAGCAGGAAGAACTTGAGCTGGGAACAAAGTAGGCTGAGTTGTCATATAACAATGGGCAGACTGCTTCCTACTTTGCAGGTACATATATATCTACTCTCCAACTCTGGATGGAGAATCAGGCTTTATTTGATAGTGCTTACTAACTACCTCTCAGGGTATAGTGTTGGGAGCCATGCAGGCTGGCTTTACTGTAGTATAACTTGTTTTGCTTCTTGCTCCTTTCTGCACCTGGAGGATGCTTACTTAACCTTGAGGC